TGTTAAGTTTTATATAACACCACATACTTTAATTCACCATCAACCATTTCCTCTTGCAGATCATGACAAGTGATGTTTATGGTAGCAACATTAGAGAAATCCTGACTGAGGCAAATCACATTGCTCAACCAAAGGCTTTAGCTGTATATGAGAGCAGTAAGTTTAGCATTTTATATTAAGACCCAAGTATCAGATATGGAATAGAGATTTACATTCATTATGCATATTTCCTTTGAAGTAAAATTTAACTATAAATTAATTCTTTTCAGGACTATATTATCTCGATTCATCCTATGAGAAGGTGGAGCGTGTTGATCTTCCCGATGGCCTAAACCCAGAGATGCTGCTAGAAAATGAAAGTGATCTGAAGTCCCTTAAGGTCTTCCAGAAGCGGCCAGGTGAGATGGAGAAGAAGAGTAAGTGCTGAACTTCACTATCCCCTGCGTGCACCACTCAAATCAAACATTGTCATCAAAGCTTTGTTCTGATCTAACCACTGAGATGAGTTCTTTTATGATATGCCAGTTGATTTTGCTCTTTGCGCACTGAAATATTTCTTCCACTCTTGCACCAAGCTTTTACCTTTCTGATTCTTTATGGACTCCTCCTATTTGCACTCTCAAGCTCAAAATTTTCAATGCTTGATTTGGGAAATGGCATGTCTCATATGAATAGTGGAAATGTAAAAAATGCATGATAAAGTAATCACATCTTTATAAGGGAAATGCACAAATATGTATGTTTCAGAAGACTGATCTTTGGGTGTAAATCGTACCAAATAAAGAAGTATTTAGTGTGTTTTTTGAAGTAATAGTTGTGGATTAAAGTGATGCTTTGTTTGAAGTGTATATTGAAAGTTATCGTCTTCTATAGAAAGTCCCAAAAATAATAAAAAAAGAACATATCAGAATTATGTGGAGAACATGCAATGATGTTAGGTAAGAGAGATGATGATTTAGAATTGAATAAATGAAGTGAGGGAATGGGTATGGAATGCCATTGGATTTGGTTATCTCTTAGAATCTTCAGTAAAGTTTGGGTTATGTTGATGAGCATTACTAATAATATTTTCATTTTTCCAGTCATCAATTCTCATCCTTGTATGGTGGGCAATGGTGGATGTGAGCATATCTGCATTCCGAAGATCAACAAACAGCGAACTTGTAGATGCACCACAGGATACAAAGCTGATGGAGAAAAGGGTTGCAAACCATATGACAAGTTTGCAATTGTATCACAGTTAGACATTGTCAGAGGCTTCAGTCTGGATGGTGCTGGAGAAGCTATGGCACCCATTGCTGAACCTGGTTAGTTTTTTTTTTTTTTTTTTTGTTAAAGAGTAAACAGTTAAACTGATGAAAATAACTTCCATGAATAGATCGTTCATATAGAAGTTTATATTTGAAAATGAATTATTTGTATCTAAACTTTATTTTCAGGTCACAATGTCCTGCATGTGGATTATCATTATTCCAAGAACTACATATATTGGATTGAATTTAATCAAGGAGGCTCTAATGGAATTTATAGATCAAGACCAAATGGCACAGAAAAGGAAGGAGTTGTCACTACTGGCATTGGGTCAAATGGAATCAGGGGTATTGCAATTGACTGGATTGCTAATAATCTTTACTTCACTAATGTGTTCCCACATGAGACATATGTAGAAGTATCTTGGCTGGATGGTACGAACAGAATGGTGCTTAAGAGTGTAACTAAGGACTCACCAAGAGAGTTGGCTGTCAATCCAATTAAAAGGTAGGATATAATCACTGCAGCCAGATAATGATTTTCAGATTACTTTCACTCTTACTTAAGATTAGTTATATTTTCACCATAGTAGGAAAATCACAAAACTAAACTAGTAAATACCTTTCATATGGGAGAAGAATTTTGTATTAAATGTTTATTCAGTGTAGATTCCATTAATGCTAAGCTTACAAAATGTTTTTTAATGTTTGATAGGTACATCTACTGGATTGATTATGGACAGTTCCCTATGATTGGAAAGGCATATCTTGATGGCACAAATTGGCAGCCAATTGTAACTAGTGGAGTGAGTAATCCAAGGGATATTACTGTGGATATGTTCACACACGATGTATATTGGGTGGATTCAGCACTTGATTCCATTAATAAGGTACGTATATAAAAAAGAAAACTTATGACACAGTGAAATAATGACATAAATTATTATACTGATTCTTAAAACCTTAAAAGTGCATACATATGCAGAAGATATGAAGTACCTATAAATTTAATAGGTGTTAGTGATTTACAGTTTGAATAATTCGAAAATCTTTGTATCTAAGAGAAAGGTCTTAATGTTTTCAGGTTAGCTTCAGTGGTGGAAACCGTCAGTTCATTAGAAGGAAGCTGCCTAATCCTATGGGTCTTGCTTTGAATAATAACTTTGTTTACTGGATTGATCGAAACCTCAATACAATCTTCCGAGCTTCAAAATATCCAGGGAATACTACGCAGGCAGAACGGTTTAAGACAAATATGGAGAATCTAAGAGACATAGCTATTTTTGATTCTACCAATCAGCCCTCAAAGGTGGGTACTATAGTTTCATAAAGTAGGTATTATAATTAATCCAGTGATGCTGGGGTGGCATGATGTACATGTCATGTCTACTGTGATTTTAGCCAATTAATTAAGTTTTCACTTAGTTGGGTCCACAAGAGCTTAGTCACTAAAGAATCGGTCACTAGTCCTACCTATCTCACCTGTTTATTCTTTTCCTTGATTTATTGAAAAGATTGCTTTTTATTTTTATTGCTAATAGTATTATTAATATTATAATGAACTTCATAGTCAAAAATTATAAAAAACAAACAGTATCATTATTGATAGCAATAGAAAGAAGCATTTTCACAAAAAAAGCAAGGAAGAGGAAATTCATTGAGATCATGTAGGGCCTGCTATTTGCCTACTTGGTTGCTGAGCACTTATTGAGCCATGTGTGCAAACAAAATTCACAAAATAAAACTTCAGTAATCAGGACATGTACTCATTGCCAGTAAGTTAATTTGTATTGAAAGAGTAATAAAGAAAGAGAATTTTCATAATTGTGATGTCACTTTGAAAATGTAGAGAAATGTAATATATATTTAAAATTTCCAGGCTGATACCCCATGTACAAGACTTGGCAATGGTGGATGTGCCCAGCTGTGCTTCTCATTCCCTGTAGATCATCCAAAACAATCAAACTTCCGGTGTGACTGTGCATCTGGAGTTTTAGCAGATAATAAGAGAGATTGTGAAGATTCAAAAGAATATCTAGTCTTTGCAACGCGAACTGAAATCCGAAGTTTATCACTAACTCCCAAGAGCAATACTGTACCATTTGATGCAGTCAAGGGTTTGACTAATGTAGTAGGAGTTGATTTTGATTACAAAGACAAGAAACTGTTATTTACACAAATCAGACCAGATACCAAGATTGCTACCATGTCTAGTTTATCACCTTCTGCGGATGACATCAAGCCAATCTTACAATTTGGAATAAATCCTGAAGGCATTGCATATGATTGGACATCAGAGAAAATCTACTGGACAGACTCTGCAAACAACAGTATTTATGCAATGAACATGGATGGAACTCATGTGGTTATGATTATTCAAGTTGAGCGACCACGTGCTCTTGTCTTAGATCCATGCCGAGGGTAAGATTTATGTGAATTTGGAGTGCTTTCATGAGTAGAAATATGGCATTTATCATCAAAATTCATTTTGTAAAATTTATGTAGTAGGAAATTATTATGACTGTCTAAATATCTTATTTTGATTTCTACTTCTCTTACCCATACAGGCATATGTACTTCACTGACTGGGGAAGGTTTGGCACTTCAGGTAAGATCTATCGTGCAACCATGGCTGGGTCATTTAGGCAAGTCATCATAGGAAATGACCTATCACAACCCAGTGGTTTGACCATTGACTATGAAGAAGAAATGCTGTACTGGACAGATGCTGTTAGGGAGAATATTGAGAGGTCATACCTGAATGGAACTAAGAGAGAGGTGAATATCAAAATTTTATTGTTCATAACTGCTATCCATTTCTCTTGTGTACATTTTTATCTTAAATTGGAATATGAAAGTGGAGGAAAGTCTATGTAAATTATTTTTTGATGTAACTCACTGTTTTCCTTTTACTTCACAGGTCATTATCTCTGCCACTATTTATCCGTTTGCCATTACCGTCCATAAAAATTTCATTTATTGGACTGATCTTCAACTTCGGGGAGTCTTTAGGGCAGAAAAATACACAGGTGGTGACATGGTCGAGATGGTTCGCAGGTTGGAAGAATCACCAAGGGACATTCACGTGTTTTCTGAGGAACAGCAGAAGTGCAACATTAACCTTTGTGAGATAAACAATGGTGGATGTGCACAATCTTGTCATCCAGTTCCTGATAATAAGGTATTCTTAATGTTTTTTAATGCTATTTACAATAAGATTTGATTATTTATAACAGCTGTTATCTTTTGGATGTTTTGGTATTGATTGCAATATATCAATTACTTCTTCATTTTTCTCAGGTCGAGTGCAAATGCAATTCATCTTTGAAGCTTGTAAATGAGAACAAGATGTGTGTCCCAAAGAATTACAGTTGTGATGCAAACAGGTTTTACTGTGCCAATGGAAAATGCATATCACGATTGTGGGCTTGTGATGGATCTGATGACTGTGGTGATAATTCAGATGAAGACAGGAACTACTGCAGTAAGTAGTGGTCAGATGTATTGACAGTTAATATTTGTGTTATTCATTATATTGAAAAGATATGGCTATTTTGTCTAGTGTTCTATTATGTGGTTATGTTGATTTCATATAGGCTTTTTCTTACTAAGGTATGATAATAATTCTTTCATGCTTCCAACAGCATACCATACATGCAGCCCTAGTGAGTTCCGTTGCAAGAATGGACGTTGCATTTTCTCAACATGGAAGTGTGATCATGAAGATGACTGTGGTGATGGTTCAGATGAAGAAGGTTGTGAATATCCCCCATGTGCTGATGGAGAGTTTACATGTGCAAATCACAGATGCATACCACAGGCACAGGTTTGTGTTTGGATTTTGATTTTTACCTTATGGTATTATCAGTCTTCTGTTCAATTTGTTCAACATTTTTTTATGTGCTCAGAAAAACCTGAGACAAGAATTATGTATAATGTCATAGCAGTCTAATGATCATGGATTTCTTTTTTTATTGGATATTAAGTGTAAGTGTAAAAACATTCTGTTAAAAATAAGGATAATTAAGTGAAATAAAGTAAAACTTTAGTTTTTTCTTTCTTTTTTTTCTTTTTAAGGTTTGCAATGGTGTAAATGACTGTAAGGATAAACACACCTCTGATGAAAAGAGTGAACGTTGCCCTGAGGTGACATGTCCACCAAACCACCTAAAATGTGAAAACACAACCATATGTGTGGAACCATACTGGTTGTGTGATGGTGATAATGACTGTGGGGACAACTCTGATGAGAACCCTCTTCACTGTTCTGAACGTTCATGTCCACCTAATAGCTTTAGGTAATGTTCTTGTCAAGTATTTTAAAAGTAGAATTTAGCTGTGGTCTCTATTAGACTAGTGTAGTTCTTGAATTTGTGACAAAGATGTGTTGAAGTAAGATAAAACAACTTTTTGGATTCAACTATATTCTTTTAATAGTAGTGTAGCTACCATTCAATATATATATTTCTTTCCCAATCCAGGTGTCCAAACCACAGATGCATCCCAGGCACTTGGCACTGTGATGGTGATGATGATTGTGGCGATGGTGCTGATGAACCAGAAGAGTATTGTGAGCAAGAGGGAAGGACATGCTTTGGGGATTTGTTCACATGTGACAATGGAAACTGTGTACCCAAGATTTACATCTGTGATGGAGATAATGACTGCTTAGATGGCTCAGATGAAGATGACAGACATAAGTGCAGTAAGTATCAGGTCAAGAGATTTTACATGTAAATAGCTTGTATTTGTAAGGTTACCTTTTTCATAATAGCAGTCAGAGAGTTTTTGATTTTGAGCTCATACAATTTTATACTCCACAGAAAACCTTTTGATTAAGCATTAATGCCTGTCTTATTTTAGATAACCGAAGGTGTGATGAGGAGACAGAGTTCACATGCAATGACAACAAGCAGTGGGGACGTGCAATGTGTATTCCACGGAAGTGGGTGTGTGATGGGGACCCTGACTGTGTAGATGGTGCCGATGAGAACACAACAATGCTGAACTGTCCAGAGCCAGAAGAGTGTGCTGAAAATCAATTCCAGTGCAATAATAGGAGGTGCATAAGTAAGGTGAGTTTGAAGCAGATTACTTATTTATTTTTTATATTGTCATATTATATAGAGAGGTATTAGATATTTGCTAATTTTTTCACACATTTTGAAATAAATTATAAGGAAACCCTAAGAGTTTTATAGAATTTAAACTTATTATTATTATTTATTTTATTTTATTTTTTTTTTAGGATTGGGTGTGTGACTTTGACAATGATTGTGGAGATGGATCTGATGAGGGAATAGAATGCAACAGCAAATACAGAGAGTGCTCTGCTGATGAATTTACTTGCTCCAATGCAAAATGTATTCGCAAGACATACCATTGTGATGGAGAGGATGATTGTGGTGATAATTCGGACGAAGTTGGATGTGGTGAGTGAAGAATGTAGACTTATCATTATTAAGTGTACATCTAGGTCATGAACCTCAGTGATATATATTTGCAAGCATTAAATGCATTCATAAATATTGATGAAAACATTGTAAAAAATAATATACAATGACAATGTACTGTATTATATACTACTATCAAATGTTTGTTCACTAAAAATATAAATTTCAGAACCTGAGAAGACATGTGGACCAGCAGAATTCCAGTGTAAGAATGGGGAATGTATAGCCATGAAATTACTATGCAACAAAGTGAGTGAATGCTCAGATGGCTCTGATGAGCCTCTCCATTGTAATGTTGATGAATGCGCCAAAGTAGAACTACATCAGTGTGGTCACAAGTGCATCAACACGATTATTGGCTTTGAATGTGCCTGCAATCAAGGATACAAGTATGTAGAAGTTTTCATTTACTTTAGTTTGTTTATTTTTTTAGGATATTTAGATTTACATATACATTTGTGTGATATACAGGGAGATAAATATGTGTCTTGTCTTCTTTTTCCTGTCTTGATGTCTTTGTGTTGGTCTGTGCAATTGTATGAATTTGCACAAGTGGCTCCTCTCATTTATTCTTTCTTCTTCTTCCTGACCCTGTATTTCTTTTGTTTATTTCTTAGTCTTCCACTTTCTTTGTCTTTCATATCAATACATGTATATTTTATTTTTATTTTTTTCCTCCCAATAGGTTAATGCCAGATGGCAAAGCATGTGAAGACATCAATGAATGTGTTGAAACTCCAGGAGTATGTTCACAGAAATGTTACAACAACCCAGGCTCCTACAACTGCAAGTGTGAT